ATGAGCAAAGTCAAGACACGGGATGGAATCAGTGCCGAGGATCGACGTGAGTTCTTCCTTCACGACCATGAAGTCCAACTGATGTGAGGATCCCTTTTGGAACTGTTCACCGATTGCGGTAAACACCTTCGGTTGGAGCTTGACACCGTTCCACATGAGCAGGGAGCCTTGATCAGGTCGCACAAGAGTTTCTAGACACCGCCTCGCTGGTATTATGTTGTTTGTAGCATCCGTATCTAACTGGAAGCAAGCGACTTCGTTGCCAACTAGCAAACTCACGTAGACGCACTTAGTTGGTCCCGTCCGCGACGCATTGCTGCTTGAATGTTCAAAGTTTGAGGATGTAACTTTTGCTAGTCAAATGTTGAGTGACGTGTAGCCTAAGATCCCGAAATCAGGACAATTTTGCATCCTTGTCTGCGGTATTGTTATAATGTACACCGTTAAGGAAATTGGGTGAAACACAATCGTTCAGGATCCAGATTTATTATCGTCAAAAACAGGATGCAGTTGAACTGGTAGAAGGGAAAAGAGTTGTCGAAACTACTGTTCAAAATAGACGGTCAGAGGACAAGTGAATACGCGGCAAATGTGTGACACTATTAACAAAGTCAAAGTGGCCAATCATTGGGGTAGCGTTCCAGCAGTCTGTAACGCGAAATTCAAATCATAGTTGAAAGAAGATTAATTCCCTTTATATAGAACTTTAATGTCCCATTCCCTGCAATGAACAATTATTTTATGTTATTTTATACAATTTTTACCTTAAAATAGTTCAGTATGCATCTAAATAAGAGAACACACTTGATTGTGTGAACACAAATAACTGCTCTGTTGCGATGGATAAAAAGTCGTAAAAGCGGACGTTTTGATAAATCAGCCGTTGTCAACTTGACTGCGACAACATGACTGCAAAACACTTCATAAGAATAAATGCTGCGCGTGCGTAGCCAGCAATAAGAAATAATAGCCGAAAACAGAAATGTGTCCCTTATTTACAAAAGTTTGGAAGTCATTCATTAAAACAACATGAGGTTATTTCGGAGATTAGAAGAAAAAATATTACGTAAAAAGCCGTTGTCCATATGCTGAACGTCAGCTATATTTGTTGACACCAAGAACTTAATAAAATGTCTCTTCTTACATCGGTTTAAAATACAGACTGGTGGAACGATACCAATCCTTGTCGATCCAAACACAAAATGTGGAAGGAATCAGAGCTAGAGGTGAAGTACCCCCCATACAATACAGTAGGTTGTGGTCAAGTGGATGACCTGCGTATCGCTCAAAAAAGGTGACAACAATGTTACAATGTCATGGAAATAACAATATCAGAAGACACATATGAGGCGTCCATAACAATTGACACAAATTGAAATGAGGTCAGGGTGTGGGGGAATGAAGGCATAAACCAGTGGTTAACCACTGGACAATGGTGTGCGCGTATGGAGGATTGAAAAGTTACGAATGCAAGTACACGGGAGGGGGTAATATGGGTGAACATACATCCAGAGTGTTCGAGGATATGGATCATTGCACGGGCGGTCCCCGCAGACACGAAGAAATGTCATTAAGTGAATTGAAAAGTACTTTCGAGATGACAAACGATCATAAGTTTCAGAGGAATTTCCCACGCAATAGCGTAGTCCGCTACAGAGGATGTTGTGTCATGGTTGAGTGCATTCACCGAGTGAAATAATTCAGTCTGCCACATTTAGTGCAAATTCGGCTGCACACCGGACACTGACCACCATACATCGGGTGTCGCCCAGCGTAGCGTTTGCAAGTTTTATGTGTATTGGTGACAGAGTTCGGAGGTTCATCGGGCAAGCTGGGTACGGCGCAAATCAGTCGACAAGCGCGTTTGTTGGATGTGGTATGTAGCTGACGGTCCACTGTGGCAAGGCATTGTTTGAGCGATAAACGCCCTCGCCGTAATAGCCGCTTTGTGATCTTTTCATCATTGATCCTTAACACGATTCTATCTCGGATGAGGCAGTCAGCCATCCAATTGTGAAAATTACAGAAACGAGTCAGCATCTTCAGCACTGTAACGTAGTTCTCAACAGATTGGTTTGGACGCCTGGTGAAAAAGAGATACTGCGGATACGTATCGTTAGTTTGGACCTAACAGGAGTCCCCGAGTTTTCAGATGACAGTTTCCAGATCAGCTGCATTTTCGTCCATTTCATACGGCATCGTTTCCAACATACGGCGTGCTTCATATCCGATCGTTTGTCGAAACATCATCAGTTGTTCGCTTAGACGCACCAGTACGTAAAAATGGATCAACTTGCTTTGCCAAATTCTCCAATTACTAATCAACTTGTGTTCCTGGATGTTCAATGGGGCAGGTGTTTGTACGGCTAGTTGCGCTTCAGTTAGCAGCGGAATACCGTTCGGTGAACGTGCCTTTTATTTTGTCTGACACTGTCGCAGAACTCGGTCTCTCAGAGGTAAACGGTCTGTTCCACAGAGCAATCTTAGCGAAAATTATAGCATGACTAGCCTGTAGAAGTCTAGGTTCCTTTCATAACTAACGGCACTTCTGCATTTTTGTGATTCTTCCTTTGCTTCAATCAAACAAACACTCCATTGCAGCCAAATATTAACCAATCAGTGTAGAGGCGGAGGTGTTGATCGCTTACTGCAATCTAGCCGCGTGCCTCGTAATGTAAATCCGTCTCGTTCCTCTGAGACTGAGACAGTATTTAAGAGCAAGTGGAAAGGTTACTGTACAACTCTATCAAATTATGAAAAATCAAAGCATTTAGTTGTGAATCATCAGCGTTTGTGTCTGGTCCGTTAATCGTTTATTCTTGTTCGGTTAGGAACTTGTATTTGTGTCATTATTTCCGGGCGTACGATGTCTTCTTTCGGCACTGTATGTACATGGTTTCTCAAAAGCACTGGTTTCCGAAATAATCGTTGATACGGGTTTTAAAACACTTCACAGAATCGACCTCTATTAACCCTTCTGCTAGTGTATTCCATAAGTTTACGATTCTTCGTTCGATACAAAGCTGATGTGATATTTCGTTCATGCTGGGGACCCAGAGTTTGTAACGGGTTCCTCCAGTGTTACAGGTTTCCCGCAGGTGAAATATTGGCCGCAGTATGGGAAGTGAATCAAGTGTAGTACTCGATGGGTCATAATAAAGTCAATTCTTACTCGGCGGTAGGATAGTGTGTAGGGTCCGAGTCTTTCAACGTTTTTCATAATCTCATCACAACTAGTCACTGAATAAGCTGGCAGAACATGCGCTCCACTTAGTATGGCGCAATGTAACGGATGGATACCGAATTCGTCACATGTCATCAGGGTGCAATCGAGTTGTAACGGCCACGCGGCATTACTGACGGTCCTTTGGGCTTTGTCTAATAACGGGAACGTGATCAGGCAAACTAGAGACAACATGTCTTCTTACGTGAGTGGGATGACTTTGGTGACTTATAGTTAAAGAAGCCATGGTGCATTTGGAGCGTCTTGCACTTTTCTTTGAGCTCCAGGCGTGGCTTAGTAGGAGCGAATAAGGTGCAGGTGATGTTTGCTTCCACTGCTACATTCCTAATGTTCATCAACTGCGCGGCTTCCGTCAATCCATCGGACCCCTACACTAACTCAACCAAAAAGTTGCATGAGGTGGCTATACATACCGAGTAAAAGCAAAAAGCGGCATTCCACTGATACACCGGTTTAATTGGTGTGAGGACAAGTCGATAATCTTAAGTTGAACCGTCCCAATGGAATTGAAACCGGTGCTTGCTTCAATAGCCCTAGTACTGGTAGTTTGACCACAACGCTAATAAACTTCAGTGTCCAGTGCCTCGACTTCTGATCTGAGCATCGACGGTCAGGGCAGACCGACCGTTTGTCCCCTTGTTCTAGCGTCCTAACTTCCTAGATCTGACATCTGTGAAGGAATAAGTTGTCCAGAGACGTAGTCAATGAAATGTTGCAAAATCAGTTAACGAACTCTGAGAGATCCATAGCAACCTATCACCTTTGAAAAAGCAGTTAGTATGCGTTTTAAAGGGTGATATACCAAGTGGATAGGGAAAAGTTCCCGATGGGGCCATTCCAGATCAAAATACTCGCAACGGTGTGGTGTTCATCCCAATGACGTAGCTCACAGCGGTCGCAAACCGACCGAACTCTCCTTGGTGGACTTGATAGAAGTCGTACTAAGGGCACAACAGACAACGCAGCAGCAGAACATAAGCCATTTGAACTGACGCTTCGCCACAGGAAACCGGAATGAACTGCGGAAGCAAGAATACCAGGTTTTTTTTGCAGTCCCAGACTGCACACAGACGATGCAATGTGGCTCACAAGAAAATAATAAATAATAAATAACCGAAGACTAGTGAACTCTGCTACACGCCCCTGTTCGCGATCCCGTGTTCAAGTCAATGTTACGCTTTCCTTCTAATCCTCTCCCTCCTGACACCTCTGTCGAAGGATTGCATCCTTCAGCCTTCTAGGGGGAGACTCATGCAGTGCAACTGAAAACACATTCTTTTATTTTACAACATTGGATTTTATTGGTGTTTGTGCCTTCCAAACGTCCATTTCTTCTACCTGCCATTGCTACTAATCACTATTCCAGACAGCACCCAACACCTATGAGGAAAAGTACGTGACGAACCCCCCATTGAATGTGGCTAGTTAGTCTAACTCAATCGAAGTTAGGTCCACTGGTAAGTAAATTTCGAGCTAAGGATAAATACAAAAACTACAAAATTAACAACACAATATTAAGATCCCGGCACCTTGCACTCGTAAAACAACCAATCATCGTTTGCGCACGTCAGTTAGTGAAGGGTGGTGACAGTGGACGAGGCGAACAAGCGGTTACAGACAAGTGTGATACTACCAGTTAGAAATAGAAACTAGGCCAGTAGCTCCGGGTTCCGAAATAGTACGGAATTACTGGCCTCAGAAAATTTTCAAGAAGGAGTAATCGATTTGCACCCAGAAAGAAAACAGACGGACTTACGAGTCGAAAGCAGCAGTCCTGTGCGTCACGGCAATGTTAGTTCTGCGGAATGGGGAAATAAGTAGGCTTGATAGTCGAATTTTCAGGCAAAAATAACAGAGAAAATAAATCAAAACTCCACTAGACTGTTCACACAAGGGACCGGAAAAAAGTGCTCAACCAAACGTGGTGGTCAACAAAAGCAGCATGCATATATATCTGCGTTGTGTGCGCTACAGCCGTAATTTAATATTATGTACATCCCGCATTGAATATGCTGGCAAAGTGCTTACAAATACCTGACCTACAGGTATTCTCAATAATTTCCAAACAAATCGGGCGCGATGCGTTCAGTTCCGCACGATGATGGGAGACCTTTGCTAGCCGGCAATCCTCCACCAATGAGCTACTCTACTTCCTGCATGAACGTTTGCGGAAACTAGTCTTATCACCAAATATCCATTACCGTCCGCCCATCAATAAACCTTTGGCCTGCAAGGGCACCGAACATGATGGACGACAAATGCTACGTCTGCTTATCACTGATGCACACAACCGATGGTAAAAGTATCAACATATAATCGAGCAACAAAAGGTGATATGTTTGCCAACATTAAAGAACAGTTAAGCGGAGAGTTTGAGAAAACGATAGCTATTAGACCTCACAAGACAAACCTACAAACAAACCAAAAGCCAAAGAGGAGGCTGGACAGAATCTCGCAACACAAACCAGCAAATGAAGCAGATGTCTGGATTAAAAATCTATCCAAACGAACCCTATCAGAAGCAAAAAGAGCAGTCATTGTGCGAGGTCTGCAATTCAGTTACAAAGATTCCAATCCCATCAATTTCATTGCCGCACTTGAGTCGACGCTGGCCACATGCAACATCGCGGCGGAGGCCTAACGTGTAATTAGGCACAGCATCATCCCCGCCCTGAGTCACAAAGTGGAAATCAACGTATTCAACGTAAACGAACAAAAGGCACTGACAAGCCTCCGAAGAGACAACACTATTGTTATATTACCGACCGACAAGGGACGTCTTATTGTGATAGTAGACAAAACTGACTACATGAAGAAGGCACAAGAACTGCTCGGAGATGTGAACACCTACCAGCCAACAAGTGAAGACCCTACAAAACATCTGGAAAGTCAGATCAAACGAGCTCTCCAGGGATTGGAGCAAATAGGACAGATCACAAAGTTAGAACACATCAAGATGAAACTCGAGGATTCAGGGATATCACGGTCCTACGGTTTACCCAAAATACACAATGATGGGGTACCGCTTCGCCCTCTCACGTCATTATCATTAGCACCTAATTGCAAACAGTCTAAGGAACTCTGGAAGCGGCTGATATACCTAATCGCAGACTCAGAACATACAATCAAATCGGCAGAGCAATTTGTTGGAAAACTCAGAATTGGAATCACCCAAATGATAGAGTTGCTTGATTTCTGTCTCACCACACACTTCACTTTCAATGGTCAAAAGTACAAACAGATAATGGACACGCCAATTGCTTCACCAATCTCTGGACTGGTGGCCGAGGTAGTGATGCAAGCACTGGAACCAAATGCACTGCCGATGGTGGAGCCCAAACTTTGTGTACGTTACGTGGACAATGCTTTTGTCATCCTCAAGCGCTCCAGACTACAACAAACACAGCAGCTGATCAATAATATTTTCTCCGGCATCCATTTCACCAAGGGGGAGGAGAACAACGACCATCTGCCATTCTTAGAGGTACTCGTGAAAAGACATGCTTCCAGGTCCTTAGAAACAACAGTCTATCGAAAAGGGACGCACTCTGATCAGATTTTAAACTATCGCAGGAACCATCCGGCCAATTACAAACGTAGTTACGTGATGACACTTTTCAAAAGGGTCCAAACACAGTGTAGCACGCTGCAGCTGAGAAAGGCGGAGGAAGACCACATATTTAACATGTTCCAGCGGAATTCGTACCCTAATAGTCTTATTCTTCGCTGCCTGACGTCGAAAAATCAACCACAGCCGCTTTTGGAAGCGTAACGGCAAGGGAAACAATCGCCCTACCTTACATTCATAGAATTTATGGAATGGCAGCGGGACTTTTAATGGCCCACGGGAGCAGCGTTGCACATGAAGCAACGGCAATTATTCAGAGTGAACTTCTCAGGGCAAAGATCAACTGAGTAGAGAAAAAACATCAGGTGTGATGTACAAAATTTTATGTCAAAATTGTGACAAGTACTACTTGGGCAAGCCAGGGAAGAAACTTGGCACAAGACTGCATGAACACAGGCTGACCATCAGCCGCCACAATGCAAGATCACTAATGTTAGTATATATGAATACCGAAGGCCATCATTTCGATCAGGGGAACACCAATATAGTTGGAAGAGCAAAGAACCGCGGAGCGCGTGAGTTCCTCGAGGCCCGGCATTCAGGCCAGAACCCAAACAACAAGCACCTAGAACTAGAGAGGGTCTACGAAGCTCTGTAGGTGAGGTCCAAAATAAGTACCAGCTCGACAAGGCGTAGACGTGACCATTTGGCCGACCTACGTGAGCCAATCGAAGACACATTCGAGGCAGGAGACGATCAGTAGTCACTTGAATCTGGCAGCCGCTTACGAGGCTCTGCAAACAGGACCTCTATAACCGCACAGAGGATGTTGTCTAGTTTGGCAAAGAAACATTGCAACCAAATTGCCTAGCTCGGAAAATGCAACAATGCACTTCTCCACCTCCAAATCTTCCGGTATTCCTTGGATTTTTGCCCGGAACCGGTTCATTTACGGTGGGACGTGCATTGAAACGTCTTGTTTGATGTGTTGACTTTTGTCTTTTGTATTGCTGTCTCAAAAAACTGGAATTTGTCGAGCCTCTGCGATACAATGGCATCAAACTAGGTGATCCGCGGTAAATGTTAAGTGCTTCTGGTCTATCTGACCTCAACACTAGGGTCGATGCGGACACTGCACCGCCAACGCCCACACTGTCGTCTTTTACGTCTCCTTCCGCTCACTCGGTGCTCAACGGAAGTCGATTCTCCTCCGCTTCATCAGTGAGAAAGCCTTTGGATGACACAGTGCACAAAAACCAGTAAGCTGCATTTGGAAATGTGATCAAGACAAAGACCTACGCTGCGGTGGCGCGCACTGGATCTGGTAATGCAGCTAGCAGTACCCATGATTCGAACCGATAATCAGGAAGGCAGCCACTAGACACAAAGTGAAATCTAACTGTACGCCAACGTTACTGAAGCTCGTTTAAGTTAAAGTCACACAACTTGAGCAACCAATAAGCAAAAAGCCGGTTACATTAAAACCAGTGAAACAAGAAGCTAAAAGACAAATGCTCTGAAGTCCGACATAGTGACTTCAGCTCAGGGGATCCATGACGACCGGGCATTTTTCAAACTAATGGTCTCCATTCTATTCGATGAAGGTGAGCAAAACATCATCATCTCAACCTTCCTCCCGTACAGAAGGCAGGTAGATCCCTAGAATTTCCGCCTCCTTAAAGTCGTCTGTCAAAACGAAGAAGAAGGCTGCCGTATCGTCAAGCGTACTTCGCGTCTTAAGGCTGAAACATTCGCTGTCTAGAAAAACCTTTGTCTTGAAGATCGAGTAAAAATGTAACCAGCTGTCAATGGGCCACGCGCGTATAGTCAACGGCGAAACCGATCTACATGTTGTAGATTTTCGCGTAGTGAAGAGGACCCCGAGAGCACGCTGGCGTCCAATCTTTCTGCTACACAGCCCGAGGGGAGCAAACAGTGGTCTGCGAGCAATACTAATGTGCGCAAACTCAGGAACAAACTTGACTAGCTTCCGCTTCTCATGTCCGAACACCATGCAGATCTGTTGGCATTCGCAGAAATTTGTTTGTTCTCTGAGGCCTTGGATACAGAAATTATCATACCAAGATGTCAATTCTCTCGAGCTGATCATACTAATGGAATGACCGGAGGGGAGTAATTCGCTACTATCAAGATGGCCTCAAAGTTCACGTCATTGCGGCGTTCTCTGATAATAACGCCGCCCCGGAAATGCTTTGGTGCCGGATCTATGATGGCCACCAAACACTCACGATTGTCATTGCCTACAGAGCTCCCTCGGGCTCAGGTTCTCGTTTCTTGCACTCAATCAAAATCAACGGCAGAGGTAGCAACTGTCTGCTAATGGGTGACTTCAATGCACCCAATGGCAACTGGAATTTTCTTCACTGTGATCTTCGCAAGGTTCCTCCGAGATGGCACTTCTCGAAGCTTTTCAGGAATGCAATGCAATTCAGCACGTCTCTACACCAATGCGGATGCTCCTGGGTCAGACACCAAACGACCATAAACTGGTGTTCACTCCGGTGCCCTCTGACGTTTGTAACTTGGAGATCCTCCAACCACTTTGTCGAAGCGACCACTAAGTAGTCTCCTTCTTGTGGACATGACGTCTTACCATCAGTGACCACGGATCATATCGTCGTAATTTCCGGCGTATAGAACCATCCAGATTACACGCTACGGCAAGCAAGGAAGATTGGAGTATTCCACAGCGCCTGAGTATCGATAAAACATGGAACCTACTACTGTACAAGATGATGTCGACCATCAAAAAAGCCGTTCCGAAGTCCAAAGGTGGACCGTTCCATAAAGGTCCCCATGGATCGACCGAGAGCTGAGGTCCTTACTGAACAGACTGCGGAAACTGTGGACCGTATTCAACGGTACACAACTAACCTAGGACTAGTTAATGTACTAAGAGGTCCGAAACTTGTGTACTCTGAAAAAGCGCGCCCAATACAAACAATACTTGGATGTTCAATGCCAAACGTACCCGAAGAAACTTTTCTCATACCTAAGGCGAAACACCAAAACGGGCGTTGGCATCCCAACTCTATCTGCCCTTGGAGAAGGCAGATGACGAGAAAGCTAATCTACTGACCTCGCAGTACTCACCAGTCTACACGGTGGAGCCACTGCTGCCCAAGAACGATGCGTCCACGTGCTCCCCAACTCTGCAGCAAATTGTAATTAGTGTCAAGATGCTAGTGCGACAAATCAGACTTACACCT